CCTTACCTTGAATCTAATCGCCTCGTAAGTTCCATAAACAGCACCTGAAACACAAGATTCGTGTAAGAATATACCCCCCAGATTTCTGAAATCGGATATTTAAAATGAGCTATATCGTTCGAAATTGTTCCAATCATCGATCAAAAAAAAAGAAGAAGAATTTAGGGTTTTTCAAGAGTGGAAAGAAGAAAATTGAAGAGAAAGTTTTACCTACAGCGCCGCCAACTGCGCCGCCAACGGCGACTCCCGCAGTGATTCTGGTCAAGCAACTATCTCTCGCCATCATTCAAAGCTTTGGTTTTTTTTTTTTTTGAGTTTTTGAGACAATTCGTTTTTCTGGGTTTATGTCGGAAGATAAATTTTCCGGTTGCTCCCACAGCTAATTAAGGTTTTTTTTTTGCGTGCACAGTGGATCGATTTTGCCTTTCGCAACAAGAACTAGTCACACCGACCTGATCTAATTAAACCAGCTTAAACCGAATCGAACCAAATTGCCTTTCGCAACAAGAACAATTCACACCGACTTGATCCAATTAACCAGCCTAAACCGAATCGACCAAATTTGTGCAACACGTCTGCTTACCAGTAGGGTGATATTTGGCAATATTAAATAAATTTTCTTTGCTGAACAAGCAATTTAAAAAAAAAAAAAAATTCAATTTAGACAATTTAGTAAATTTATTTGCAAAAATCTATTAACTATAAACTTTGGAAACTGTAAGGACGTGCGTAGTTTAAAATAAATTAGTAGTCATTTGTGATAAAACTTTATTAGAATCAAAATTTGCAACATTTTGTAAACGAAACAATGCTAGTAATAAGAAATTCATTAACATAAATGGAGATTCTTTAGCAGACTCAAAAACAAGAACAAGACAAAGTATCTGACTAATCAAAAGCATTAGCAATTTAGATGAAGAAGAATGGTTTAATGTATCTATAAAATGCTAGTTGATCGACCAATTGATCAAGTCTTCCTTCGACTAACACGCGCAAGATATCCAGTTTTGATCGCTGTCACTGATCGTCCTGATCCACACTGCCAAAAACAAAATCCCAAAGCCTTCATTTTTTTGCTTTTTTTTTTCCGTTATGATTTATGAAGTAATAAACTGAAGTATAGCTATAATAAAGAAATGGCTTTCTTACTCAATATCAAAGTTAAGAGAAGGTAAATGGGTATATGTAGAGAGTGTTTTTTTACCTTTTCACATCTCACAAAGATGAGACGATTCTCCTTTGAAAGAATTGTATCAGGGCTCTTGCAACCAAGGCAAATGACATATTCAGCTGACAAATATAACGCGCAAAACCATGAATCATTTGTAGAATTCGATAACACAATGATCGATATTCGGCAAATTCTAAATCTTTGAGATTAAAAGGAAAAAGGGTTATATACTTACTGACATATCGACGCAAGATCCCTTCAAAGTTCTTGGGAGCAAATCTCCCTTAAACAACCAACCTTTGTTGTCCATCAATTGAACCACTAGTACCCATCTCATCAAGCAAGAAATGCATTACATGATCTGGTTGTCTACGCATCCTGAAAAAAAAAATTGCCAAATTAATACAAAACATCAAATTACTATTATCACTATACGTTTTGAATATGTGAGTTTGTTTCATTACGTCCTGCAAAGGTCCATAAAGTTGACAAAGACGGTCTTCTTTGTCCCTTCACGAAGAACTTGTGGAGGCCTCATAACTGTACGACGCCTATCTCCAAGGTCGGGGTTATTTTCACGTAGAATCTTAAATACCGTACCAAGAAGCTGCACATATACAACTCCAGTCAGCAAAATGTAAGTTACACGTTCTAGTAACCAAAGAGCATCATCT